GTTAACTAGAACTTTATAATACTTTATACATTGTTGGTTCTGTTGATTAGAATGAACTAAAAAATTACAAAAGATTTTATACTATATACCCATGACATTATAATGAAAGTCAGGGAGAGAGAGATTACAAGATAGAGTTAATCGTTTCACAATACATTATACTAAAGTATGTCCATTCTATACTACTGGAGACAGGGAGGATTGATGTCTTTGAGTTGGTTTCAAGGTTTTGGTTTTGGTGGTATTGGAGGAGGAATATCCAGACCACCTAACCTATCCATGATCAGCTCTTGAGTAGTGAACTTCCTCTAGAGGAGAGTGAGAGAGAGATGAAGGTTGTGTTACTCCATACAGTATAATGTGTATTGGCTTACATTTCCATTGACTGCTGCATGGACTACTCTTTCCTCAGTGGGTGGTTTATTCTTTGGTGTTCTCTTACCAGCTGCTATTGATAGATCAGCATACAATACTTTATGAGGAGCAGCTGGAGGAGGAATGGGAGGAGGATCAGACTAGGAGGAGAGAGAGAGGATGTATGAGATACAATTACATGTACATGTACATTATCATTACTTTGTTGTTAACTGATGCATATACCACTGGTTGTTCTTGTGTTGGTGCTGCCTGTGGTCTCTTCCCTTTAGCAGCAATAGCCAGATCAGCATACACTGGCTTATGAGCTGATTTATCAACTAACACCTATTGAATATAACAACATGAACCTTGATTACTAATGTACATACCTTATGTACTAATATACCTTATACTAATGGACATACCTATACTAATGCATTTACATGTACTTATGGTATGTGTGTATTAGTTACTATAAAGGGGTACATCAGATTACATAAGGATAAGTTCACCTTATTACAAAGCTAAAAGGATGTACTCAATTCACCCATTACCCCTCTTCCCTTCCTTTATATGATACAATACATTATGTACATGTAGTTCATTAAACCCAATACATTATGTCATGAGTGGATTATGTACATGTATCCATACCTGGTTGTTGGTGTTTTTATTAATGGTTGAATATAGTCCAGTAGCACCAGTAGACAGACCCTGTTGACCCTTATTCTATTAATAATACATTATATGATCCATTTTTAAAAGACTCTCTCATTAATGACTGACCTCTCCCTCTCTCTTCAGTTCAGAGTATTCTTGTACTCCATTAGGATTATAGGCTGGTACTGGTGGGGGAGTGTCATCATCATCATCACTGGCTCTAAGAACACTGTACTGACCTAGTGAATATTGTATATCAAATAGTAATATATATATATGCAATTACTCAGTCTATACTTAATACTGATCACTATAAAGCATGTACTTAAGCACATTGTCTATCATGTCCTCTTGTCTATCATGTGCTAGTTCATTGTATCTTACAGTCAAACATATGATTACCCTGTGTAGGCTGTTG